TGGTACAATTATTGTTTTCCAAGATGACATAACCTAAAATTTCATACAATTTTAAAAATAATAACCTATATTTATGTTTTAAACTGCTGGGAAATTGAAATAACATGTGAAATGAGTGTGTTTTTTCTTTCAAGTTCAAATGAGCCGCGTCACGATAAAACCAACATAATGGGTTTGCGACCAGCATGGATCCAGACCAGCCTGTGCATCCGCGCAGTCTGATCAGGATCCATGCTGTTCGCTTACTAACCCTATTACAAATAGAGAAACTGACAGCCAACAGCATGGGGTCCTGAATTTAGACTTGCCGGATTGGGGCCCGTTTTTGGGCTTTTTTCCCTGCTGGTTGCAAACCCCACTATGTTGGGTTTTTTCGTATGCGGCTCAAAAAAATTTTTTTTCCAGGGAAATTTTTCGGATTCCCATAAAAATTTAAAAGGGGGGCCACACGAGTACCCAAAGGGGCCCCAATACACTACAGAGTCTGGCCATATTTGTCAAGCATGGAACACGAACTATTATTACTATTACTATTACTATTACTATTACACTTCCTATGTCGATGTTCATAATTATTGCCGCGCTCCAAATCAAGAAGATACCAGGCCGTGGTGCTATATTAATGATCAAGATTTGTTGTGGGACTACTGTTTAGTTCCTGAATGTTTGTAATTAACTACATACTTCGTTTTCCTGTAGAGTTTCATTGACACTTTATTGAGATGTATGATCAACACTACACAAACACTAGCTGAATATATATGATGGACGATTAAAAATATTTGATCCAAAGGCATCCTAGAAAACTCTGAACATTAAATTTGAAAGGTCCATTGATAGTTTGCATAGTTGTTGATGATGAGTAATTTTGATGGATCTGATTATTGAAATTGTCCATAAAAACTCCTGCTGCATCAATGATAATAATACTCAACACTCGTGTGGACATTACTTATATTTGTTGTGTTATTATCCATACAGAACTCAAGCTTCATCAGTTATGATAATGAGATGTTTGCCTTCTTAACACACGTGTGGACATAACTTATATTTGTCGTGTTATCATCAATACAAAACACATGCTTCATCAATTAAGATAATTTGGGTTTGTCTACTCAACACTCCTGAGGACATTATTCACACTCAACTCATGCTTCATCAATAAAAATAAGCTGTGTTTGTCTACTCAACACTACTGTGGACATTACTTATATTTGTTGTGTTATTATCCAAACACAACTCATACTTCATCAATTGTAATAATGAAGTGTTTGTCAACTCAATACACGTACGGACATTGTTTATGTTTAAATTTTGTTGTGTTATTATCCAAACTCAACTTAGGCTTCATCAATTATATAATGAGGTTTTTTAACTGAACAGACGTGTGGACATTGCTCATATTTGTCGTGTTAATGTACAGAACTCCTGCTTCAACAATTATAATAATGAGTTTTTTGTCTTCTTAACACATGTGTGGACATTGCTTATATTTGTTGTGTTATTTAAAACATACAAAACTCATGCTTTATCAAAAATAATAATGACGTGATTGTCAAATCAATTTACCTGTAGACATTAGTTATATTTGTTGTGTTATTACATATACAAAACTCATGTTTGATCAGTTATTGTAATGAAGTGTTTGTCTACTCAACACTCGTGTGATCATTACTGATATTTGACGTGATATTACAAACAGAACTCATGCTTCATCATTTGTTATAATGAGGTGTTTGAGAAATCAATTTACGTGTAGACATTGCTTATATTTATCGTGGTATTATCCATACATAACTCATGCTTCATCGAGGTGTTTGTCAACCCAACATGAAATTTATTTGTTTGTACGAACTGGATGATAAAGAAAATTTAATAAAAAACAAAACAAATGGTAATGGTCACGTGTTTGTCCACAAAACACTCGTTTCACACAAATGGAAATGGTCGTGTGCTTTTTACTAAACACTGTTACAGAAATTTTAAATAATCTCGTGTTATCCACAAAACACACGTATTACACAAATGAAAATGGTCATGTGCTTGTCCACAAAACACCCGTGTTATACAAACAGTTTCGGTCATGTGTTTGTCCACAAAACACTCGTGTTACACAAACGGTAATTGTCATGTGCTTGTCATCAAAGCACTCAACAAGTGCGATTGTCACTATGATAATGGTTATGAGTCAGACTACACATCACTTCTGCTACATGAAAGATAATGCCCTCATTTTCATACACTCGACCGGTAATTGTTATGAATTATATAATATCATTGTATGGATGTTATATATTGGACATATGTTTATTCACAGCACTTTATGCTTTATGAATGATATATGTCATATGTTTCATGTATTCTTTTTCTTATTATTATAATCATTATTATTCTTGTTGTTGTTGTTCTTCTTCTTCTTATTATTATTTTTATCATTATGATTTTTATGATTATCATCATTATCATGATCATTATTATAATTATTATTATTATTATTGTTATTTTTATTATTATTATTATTATTATTATTATTATTATTATTATTATTATTATGGTCTAACTTTTTCATCTTATTTTGCAAAATGTATTATTATTATTATTATTATTATTATTATGGTCTAACTTTTTCATCTTATTTTGCAAAATGTGTACACGTATTTTAAAGTAGATGTGGCTTTGTAAAAATAAAAATAAATAGACAAAAAAAAACAACAATTATTTCTTTTTTTTTATTAATAAAATTTTTGATTCATGATTTCAATGATTTTTATCCTTGTTTTAGCATGATTGTGACGATTATGTACACATATTCAAAGACAAAAAGAAGAACTTTACATCACATATCAATTTTCAAACGTGCAATTTACTTTGAATTTCGACAACGTTTTTAAAGGCCTATTATGCCTCAGAAAATCATTTTTTTATTAAATTCTTTACAAATGTTTGACATTTGTTCAATAATGCTTTAATAATGGATTTAGAGCATTTATGACGTAGGGCGACTGAACGTGCATTAATGTGGCGCAAAATGTAAACAAAGAAGTACATTGTATTTTGACTTCCATACAAAATACTCATTCCACTATAATGATAATTATTATCATTTGCCAAGAGAACAAAAGCAGCAAAAAAGTTTATGTATTTAGCTAACCAGTATTTTTTCCGGAAATTGTAAATAATTTTGTTTTAAGAAATAAAATTGATAGCATTTCTGAGGCATAATATGCCTTTAATAGCCACCGACATAGTGTAAAAGACAGTTTCCCCGACGCTGTGTAAAGTCTCTCTCTCTCTCTGATTTTCTAAAATCTTTCCCAATTGATTTTGTCGATTAATTCGATTAGTTTGCTGAATATTTTGCATCGACTGAAACTATTGGGAAATATGTTTAGAAAATCGAAGTGACTTTAGATGCAACAGGTTACGTCAAAGAAAAGACCTTTTCAGTCCTAGATTTGAAAAGATCCATTCAAGGATCATTTACTTGCCAAGACCAATGCACTTACAAAGTGTGAGGGCTTATAGCCTATGGATTGTCAAATTATTGATCGGAAACCGTTTTTACCTGCAAGGTCAATATGACCTTGATCTTTGATCCCTTGACCCCAACATCAATAGGGGTCATCTACTTGTTATGACCAATGCACCAACGAAGTTTGAGAGCTAATAGCCAATGGGTCGGAAACCATTTTTACCTACAAGGTCACTGTGACCTTGACCTTTGACCCCTTGACTTCAAAATCAATAGGGGTCATCTACTTGCCAAGACAAATGCACCAACAAAGTCTGAGGGCCAAAGGCCTATGGTTTGTCAAGCAGTTTATCGGAAATCGTTTCTACCTACAAAGTCAATATGACCTTGACATTTGACCCCAAAATCAATAGGGGTCATCTACTCGTCAAGACAAATGCACCAACGAAGTTTGAGAGCCAACAGCCTATGCGTTGCAAGTTATTGATAGGAAAGCGTTTTTACCTACAAGGTCAATGTGACTTTGACCTCTGACCCATTGACACTTTAGTCAAAAGGGGTCATCTACTTGCCAAGACAAATACACCTACGAAGTTTGAGGGTCAAAGGCCCATAGATTGTCAAGTTACTGATCGGATAACCGTTTTTTTTACCTACTAAGTCAATATGCAATATGACGTTGACCTTTGACCCCTTTACCCCAAAATCAAAAGAGGCCATTTACTTGCCAATACACAATGCCAAGAGCCCATGGGTTGTCAAGTTATTTATTGGAAACAATTTTACCTACATGATCAATGTGAACTTGACCTTTGACCCTTGACTCAAAAATAATAGGGGTCATATACTTGTCATGAATAATCCTCATACCAAGTTTGAAGTTCCTAGGCCTAAACCATTTGGTCTACGGACCGTCGGACGGACCGACTGACAGACAAATGCAAAGCAATATACCCCCACACACTTTTTTGAAGAGGGCATAAACATATTTAAAAAAACAACCGGCACAGTGGTTGAGTGGTTTCATTTTATCACTAAAATCGAGGAGAAGCGATTTCAATCAATTATAAATCATGACAGGACCTAGATTTCATCGGACGGACGGACGAACTGACGAACAAAGGCTAAAATTTGAGTCTCCTTCGGTGAAACCGGTAAAGGACTCATTAACCAAATTTGCCTCTATCCCGCTTTTATGATATCTTCGTTTCCAACAAGTTCACAATTTGCTGTTACAGTGTATTTTTTAAAATACCAGAAAAAGGGACACAGGGCACTTACAGAATTATTAACACGATAACGATCCCTATTACATCCTTGGTGTTGAAAGTCACAAAAGTAACCCTTACCGTAAACTACCAGTTGCCTGTAGATGCTTTTGATGATTTAATTAAATATTCTTGGACTAACTTTAAACATAATGTACACAGAAAAACAAGCAAATACACAATAAATAGACAGACAAACCAACAATAATCGAAATTAGTTATTGTGAACAGAAAATATAAAGAATATAAAGACATTAAGAGAAACAACAGCACAATTCTTTATTATAATAACAAACTATTTTCAAAATATCTCATTTGTATGTATCAACATATTGTCTAACACAAATATAAGTGTCAAATATTAGAAAAAAAGACCAACAAGGAACGGCGGCATTCAATGACGTACCGCCCCACCCCCAACAAAAGATGGGGGGCGTGAAGCTTGCTTAAATGTTATCTAGAAAGAGAGCAAGTGCTCTACTACAAACTTCGATACGGGTCCAAATAGCATGTTTAAGAATACAGTTTTGCAAAAGGCTTTTGAGAATTACACAGAGAGTTGAATGCACGAGCATTTGCTTATATTTTATCATATTAGCAAAAACGGTTTCGAATTAAAGACACAGAACAAGTACTTTGCAATTACAATAATTTAACAGAATAAACTAATATACTATGCTCATCTTTGGTAAAATATCTTAATCGAAGAACTTTATTAAAACCTATGAAATTCTTACTGAATATGTCTAACTTGAATAAAAAATGAATAAACTATGCATTGGAAGTCACGTTCTCTGTTATCAAGTCAAGTTGTTTTTTTTCTTAAAAAACTGCCAGTTTTTTAACGACACTACATATTCATATTGTGACGGCCTATAATGTGTAGAGTGTTTAATATAACGTATCTACTGTGCATGAAGTCAAAGCATGTTTATTTTATATTCACAAACAGACTGTGTAGCAATTATTAATACTTCTGATATCACATTTGAGCTACGTATATCTTTAACCACCTTTTTCACTTTTAATTTACAGGTACAGTGTCAATGCTTAATTTTCAGTTATCGAACCTCCTACTTAACATTATGCACACGTACATGTATACAAATCTAAAAAACTTTCCTAGTTCGTGAAATTTAAAACATAACAAAAAAATGGTTGTTTCCTACAATAAGCAGTAACATTATAAAAAAGAAAGCTTTAAAGTTTTTGACACTTTTAAAATACCGTTCTCCTTTTAATCTTCATGATCAATCTGCAACTGTTGAAAAACTGTCCAATGATTTGGAATCATAACTTGCCACACTGAGGGCGTGGCTCATCACACTTTGAGGACGCCCTTCGACCGGTGACACCCTGCCAACGCTTTCAAGTTTAGATTCCTTTATCACTTTTTTAATTTGCGGAGACGCTGATTCAAGTCTCCCTATTCTTTGCTTATGGTTAGGAATTGGTGATAATTTATTTAGCGGTAATTTTGGAACTTTCATCTCTGGCGGTGAAACTTCTGGTTTTAAGTGTCCGTTTGTGTTCTTTGAAAAGATCGTGGGCGTGGATTTTCCTTGTTGTACCTCGGCTATTGATATAGCATTTACAGCAGGGTAGTTCTTATTTGTTAGCGTGGTGGCGCTTCTTCTAAAACTAATTATACTACTTCCGCTTCGATGTGTTTCTACCGGAAGTGGAGATTCTGGAAGAGCACCGTTTCCGGTAAATCCTTCTGGGGCGGGGCTTGTAGAGAATGGACCGCTTATGTCAAAGGCAGAATGTTGGTGATTTACTGGAGCAGCGGATTTTCTCATTTTCACAGGTTTCAAATCAAATACATCTTCAGCCGTTTTATCTGGAGGATATACAATAAAACAAATGTAAGGTACCATATATCTTGACTCAGTATCCTAAGTAGAATGTTGAAAATATTTTCTTTTTGTTTCGCTTCGTACTTTTGAAAACGAAACTAAATATTTCTTTACAATAACATAAATATATATATAAGTTACATCCTTAACCTGCTTTGAATTTGGAACAGTCTTTAGAAAATTCTGGAAACAAAGTGATCCCTCTGAAGCATTAATCACAACAAAATAACATAAGAATTGCAGACTCGGTTTGATTGAGTCTGTACATGAGGGATAATGAATAAGTGCAACATCCCTCACGCCCCCTAGCACCGGCTTGAGCGGTACTCAATTCTCAACACTTTATAGTGCTGGCATCAATGATCCCGAAGGACCAGAAAATATAACAACACTGAAGTGAAGTACGGGGCACATTTTTTACGGCTGCCACACGGCACTTGACACCTGCTGTTGTGAAGTACAAAATTCTTGAAACAAAAAGATCCATCGGAAGCATTAATCACAACAAAATAACATAACAATTGCAGACTCGGTTTGGTTGAGTCTGTACATGAGGGATAATGAATAAGTGCAACATCCCTCACGCCCCCTAGCACCGGCTTGAGCGGTACTCAATTCTCAACACTTTATAGTGCTGGCATCAATGATCCCGAAGGACCAGAAAATATAACAACACTGAAGTCAGAAGTTCAAAAGATTGCAATAACAAATTACAAAATTCAGCTTCCAACAGAATTAAGCCCGATTACAAAACCCGATACAAAGAGTAAACAAATACGGTTCCAGCACGGCAAGTGAAGAATTTTATGCTTGATATAAGTTTTACTTTACTTGTTGCTAAAGGAAAGAAAATTGAAATATTTACCGAAAAATGAAACATTGGTAGTGGCGTATCTACCGTTTCTCTTCTGCTTCAGATACAGATAAACAAATACAGTGAGAAATATTGCCAACGTTGCTATGATGACCAGAGACGCTACGCTGACCCCAATCAAAACATCCAACAAAGAACCCTGATCGTCCACTTTATCTGATGTACAAAAATGAATTAAAATAAATTAAAAACAAAAAATTAAAAGAAAAGCAAAGAGTTCACATGGATTTCGCATTGTGAATACATTAATACAGAGTACAGTGTAACCGCTGCAAAGCGACCCTCATCGCAACATCTGTAGTTATTAATTCTTCCCAAAGGAAAACTACACAATAAATCAACCCTCTTTTACTATAGCAACATCATTCGGGGACAACAAAATATCTATCAAATTTAATAATAGGTTTCTAAGTTTATCGTTCTTCGATCTTCACTTCTTATTTGTAAGATTTAATGAGTTTGCCTTTGCCATAGCAAAATCATTATTTACCTTAGTTCTAGCGCGGTGGTCGGTTTAACCGGGTTTCCTGGACTTACTTATTACTAACCAGTATTTTTTACCACTTTCTTTGTAAGTGACCGACTACTTACCCAACTTAATTTCTGAATAAGCGGTGAAAGACACATGACCTTTTAGGCATCCGATGGTCTGAGATAAGCTGGTGGACTCGAGTTATATACAACCGTCATATATATCAATTATAAAACTAACATATATTTCCATTATTACTTTACTGGTTCGTGTTATAATAAAAGTATAAATTCACATACAATTAATATATTTACAAACACATCTATTACGATAATTAAGCTAACGTAGTTACCGCAAGTACTTCGCTGATTATATCTCCACTCTCCGTCACTGCCACAATAAATTTCAGTTGTCCCCGAAGCTTCGTATCCGTCGTTGCATTGTAATTGTCCTGTCGTTGTAGTCCCATCTGTCGAAAACTGGTATACACCATTCTCAGGAGTGACTAGGTCTTTGCATGTTACTGAAAATAAACAAATAATGGGATTACAATGCAATATGTTGAAATATCTTTAAAATAGTTCCTGTACAAGAAACAAGATCTGTATAACAAATAAGACCGTATGCTCCACCTTTCTTAGTGTTCGATAATTAAATAAAGCAAAATAGTAAAGAGAGCTTAATTCTGCAAAAGCGTTTAATACACATACATGCCCTTGATATTCAACAGAAATTTTAAATTTGAAGTGAATACTTGAAATATTTTTGAAGAAATAAAGTCTTTTAAGGAATATTTACAAAAAAGTTCAACAAGTCAAAGATAGGTGCATAACTGAGGGAAAATATAACATAAGGTAACCTGCCCTTTATTGTAAAATTAAACAAGTATACCAAGTTTAAAGTAATCAACATTGACATTTTTTGAAAAGTTAAAGTTAGCAAAAAAAAAGAAAGAAAAGAAATAGGTCAAAAGAGACATAACTTTACAAAAAAAAACTTTACAGGATTATCCGTCCTTTTAAAATGGTGTCATACAATGCAATTTGATTGCTAAAAGTAAAAATTTTTGATATTTTCTGAGAAAATGGATGGACTCAAAGAACGTCCACTAAGGTCCAAATGATATAAACATAAAATTAGAAAATAATTCATAGACATGTCGGCGCACTTAAATCAAAACAGTATAACATAATACTTAAGAAATATACCCAAAAGTACATGTTTATTGAACAGTATATTTTGTGCGATTTTCTGCCCGATTTAGTGAACAAATTAGTTATTGGTAGATACTTTCATTAAATTGTATAAAGATGTCGATAACAAATTTCAGTCACGTCATGTCACATCAAATTAGTGGAGTGTCTTTAATAAAGATGTTAACCAGAAACATGTCATTTCACACTTTATAAAGTAAAACCAATGAAAATTCAACGTTTGAACCACGTACGTGATGTCCCAATAGAATTCATTATTCAATTTGGATCAAATCTTATCAATTAAGCCTTGTTTCCCTTTCCAAAGTCTAGGAAAACTCGATTTAATGCATTTCTGCATCAAATGCATATCCATACCCAACTTAGCCTTGTTATCATGTTCAGGGTCCAAAATATCTATATAAAATGCGTATTCTTCATCTAGCCTCGTTTTCACTATAAAATACTTATAATAATAATAATTGCATTTGAAGCAACACAGTTATGTCAAACTGTCACAAGAATGGTGGTTTTAAAAGATAGGTCATTATACATTGTTAAGAATACTTATTTTATTGATCTTGTACACAGCTGCAAAAAGTACATCAGCCTCGGTTTGCGCCTCGTCCAATATAGGTTTGTACTCGTCCAATAGAAATCAGTATTGTATAGTAACCTGGTAATGTCAAGTTAGAAAAGGATACTTTTTATAATTTCTGGAAAACGAAATTGTTAACCAACGCCGGCGTTAACTCTAACCCGATACCGACGCCGAGAAGGGAGACACGAAATAGCTTCCCTTTTGTTTCTGTCTATTTGTTGTTTTGTTGTGTTTTTTCTTTCTCATTTTTCATGTTTTGTTTAAACGTTTTAATACGTCTATACTATCGAAAATGATATAATAATGAATGCGTGTACAATCTTTTTTTTCAAGTTTATTATATTTCCCCGATGTTATATCCCGGAAAACACCATAAAATACATACCGCAAGATGGCGTTGTACCATTCCAGCTTCCATCTACCTGACACGTCACGCTTGTGCTACCATTTAGTGACGAACCTTCCTCGCATTTAAAACCTGCTGTTGTGGCGGTACCATTAGATGTAAAGTCAATTCCTCCACCACTTGGGGCAGCTAAATCGTTGCATTTAACTGTTACAAAGACAAACGAATACTTGATATTGGAATACGTCGAATTTATCATTTCTCATAATACACTTTTAATTTGATACGCAAACAAATTTATAATAGCATGATTATATAAAGATATATAGCTGCTTAAAATAACATTAATAACAATTCAATTAAACTTTTGAATAAGCAAACTGAAACTGAACCTTTTTAAGCGAAAACAAATTTGGGTAAAGTTGGATAAAATATGAGTTTTTCTCCACTAGACGAAATGTTAAATAAATACTGTCTGATATGCAAGCACTGTAACAGTTACCAAAAGTACTATTATAAATACTACAGTTATGACGATAAAAGATTTTCATGAAAGATGGTGCGCCCCGTTTTTCGTTCTTTACAGAAAAAATATTTTCAGATTTTTAACACCGTCTTTGTTATGTAGATATAGGTTATTAGATAACACACGGATAATATCAAAGAATACGTGTAACAATTACTTACTGCATATAGGGACTTGACCACTCCAACCTGTAGCATCACTATTACAAGTTAAAGCAGAATTACCGGATAAACTGTAGCCGCTATTACATTGAAATTGCGCGTTCTTTCCATTACTCGTCACGGTTCCATTGGCAATGCCAGTCGGCTCTTCACACACTGAAATCGAAAATGGGTTATTATTCCAAATTGTGGTCTGAATTCGTAAATTTCCTTGTACAGAATTACAAGAAATTGTAATATGATTTTGGATAAAAACGTCCGTTGATCCAATATTTGCAAAAGTGTGTCTTTTATACAAAACTTTACACTTCTCATCTTCCGACTTTTTCTACGTCAGTTAACAAATTAAAGAGAGGCTTGACAAGTCCATTTTCACTAGGTTTCAACACGGACCGTGATTGAGTTCCGTGGTTTCATGTAAGGGTTCAATCACTGGAAAGATAATTTATGAAAGTGACTTACAACACTCTGGATCAGAGTCTGACCAACTTCCATCTGGAAGGCAAGTCGTCATGTTTTGATCGCTGATGTAATATCCGCTTGCGCATGCGTACACGGCAGTTGTTCTTGTTCCGTCAGAAGAAAGAGTCACATTGCCACTATTTGGATCCAACACATTCGGACAAGTCACTAGATTAAACAAAAATATTTATAAAAACATATCTAGAACTACTAATTCAGCTGTAAAACAAATGGAAACATGGAAACATGTAAAATGTGATGGATAAAATATTTCAAATAAAATACTTCGAATAAAACAAAGTTGTACATAGTATAGTAACAATATCTTCATGTTTTAATGAAGGAAAAAATGTTTTGTTCTTGTTGTTGTTGTTGATGATGATGATAATGATGATGATGAAGATTTTTGTTGTTGCTTTCTTTGTTTGTTTTGTTGTTGTTGTTGTTGTTTTTTTAAACTGAAGCTCTAGTGACAACGATGCTACAAAATGCAATTAAAGTTTAATCTGAAACCAGTGTTAATGAGTGACGGATGCTGACTAATCATCGGTAATTTCTAAATTAAGATATCTATTGCTTTTGTATAAAACATTGATTACAGATATGTTAAAAGAAGTACCACAAGCTGGTTCCGTAGAAGACCACGTGGCGTCCTGTAGGCAAACACTGATTGCCTCCCCTTGCATTGATGTTCCTAGGGAACATGTGAATGTTGACACAGTATGCGTTCCATTGGAACCGGTTGAGATACTGCCATTTGCTGGGAATAAAAGGGCCTCGCACTGTACTGCAAAAATAATCAACATCATAACAATTTGGACATTTATGGAGCTACACTGATAAATAAATGTTAACTTTGGTGGCTGATTTCTGGCATTTTGGTGTCTTCGCCTCAAATGTCGGAGGCAATAACATGATAATATTCTCACATATGTCTTCAACTTCGACTTTTGAGTGCGCTGAGATAGACACGATATATTTCTGGGGAAATAACGATATTTCAAAAGGCGGAGACACGAGTTCTTTTACTGTAAACTTATCGTGTCGACGGGTAGAAATCTTCGTGTAGACGCGATATATTTGACGTGTCGCCGCCTCAAAATTCAAAAGGTGAAGACACCATTATAGGCCAATTGATCGAGTCTTCGTGTCGTCGTGTCTTCGCCCGGAATGTCCAAGTCACGATAAATTGGCAAATTATGACTTGGGGGATGTGGGGTGCGAAGACAAAAATACAAGAAATGGCAAAAAATCAGCCAATATACGTAGTTACCAGAATTATGAAATTCACATGACCATGATGTTCATTGTAAAATAAGGATTCGATCATTGACATTTCTCATTTTCATTGAAAATGATGTTATTTACAATAACATATTATAAATTACGTTCTTACATAAGAGAACTACGATTTTTGGATTTGTGCGTACAAATGTAATAAACTATTAAACCCATAATTATGTGCTATTACTCCCAGGATATACATGTAATTGCTATTACTCCTAAAATACTCGATACTAAAATGTCGATTTTTTGCCGATTCTTACCTTTCTTTATTCATTATTGTACATAAATCGGTGTAAAGAGATAAATTAGATGTTTTAACCCTTTCCCACATGAGCATATTGTGGAAAAAGGCCATTTTCACTGAAAAGCCTCCTGTTACAAGTTCAAACTGCTATGAAACTATGAAAAATGCTTCAATACTAATCAAACTTGGCACAAATGTTGACTGGACCATTGCCTTTGTAACGACATGCTCGGTTTAAATTTCCTGTTACCATGGCAACGAGGAAACATCTCAAAATTGCCAAAAATCACTTTTTGCCTCGATTTTTTCCATCAAAATTTATTTCAAAGTGCTGCAACTTCTCAAGGGATTGAGATAGAGTCAAAGGGGTGACTTTCAGCGTGGGTTCCACGTTACCTTATGATCGACCTGGGGTCATTTTAAGCCTCTCACAAGTCCAAAATTTTCTTCGATGAGAGGGACTCCGCCCCCTTCAAACCCCCCAAACAGAAGGGGGCACATCTCCCTTCTGGCAACCCCCTCATGTAATATTTGGATGGGGGACGGCGCCGAAAAAATGGTCACTTTTTTTAACAACATTTCTCAAACAAAAGACAGTGTTTGGGGCCTAAATAGGGCATTTTTTCACTGTTTGAGGCCTCAAAAAATGGGGGGGGGGGGCAAAAAGCCGTCGAATCACGCTTATATAAGGGGTCGAAACACGCTTATATAAGGGAAAAGGTTAAAGTTCATTCCGTTGGGAGAAAAGGCGGGACTTGGCATTTAATCATTCAAGCGCATATTCCGGTATATACCGGAAACAAGTGTAGTGCTCCAATTTAGTCTCACTCATTAAAATACCTACCACAGGAAGGATCGGATCCTGTCCATCCTGAACCGTCAGTTTGGCAAGTCCTTTTCCTGTTCCCCTCCAGGCTGAAATAAAGGTCGCATGTATACACGGCAACTAGCTTGTTATCTTCGAGCCTGACCGTTCCATTTGCTGGAGACGCAGGGGCTGTACATACTGAAGTAGAACAAATAAAGAATATGGTGAAATTAAAATTAACATGACATGGTTCCCGGTCTGGCATAAAAGTTATTGATGGTTCCCCGGCTCTTGTTAACGTTATTTTTTAATAATAAATAGACCTTTTTAAAGTTAATGTGAACCATGGACAACTTAATTCTATGAATCAAAATAGATTGTATCTATAAAATTGAATCACTCCTATAGGCTTTCTTTTAATACTTATTACAAATATACAAACTGAAAACTTGAACGCATGTTTTCAGGATAAATGCTATCGTGGCTGAAAATGAATTGTATCGTAAAATAAAACGTTATAATAAATATATAATGAACCAAAACTTTCATAGTTCAAAACAAGTTTTTAATCTTAAATTAATGAAAACATGGCTTATAATTTGTGTTAAAATACAAAGGATTGGTTGGGGGAAACGGCTTACACGTTATTGTGAATCTGAAATTGATCGAATCCATGGCTTTAAATGTATTTTAAATCAAAGACAGACATTGTTAAAATCGCTTTAGCGTTATTGTGAATCTCAAATGAAAAGGTTCCATGGCTTATTTGTAATTGTGAAGGTAAAGCTTTAAAAAAATCTGAATTCTGAATCGATGCGTGTTCTTTTCTCAGGACAGCACAGCATTTAACTCATGTGAATTAGTAGAAGTGATGCTTCAAATTTGTTTAAGTTGTTTACCACATGTTGTGTTTGATCCAGACCACGTGCCGTCCGTCTGACATTGCTGAGTAGCGTCTCCGTACACTTGGTAGTTGTCTGCGCAGGTGTAAGTCACTGTTGACACCTGACCATTTGTTTCTAGATCAAGCTTACCGCTTGATGGCGTTTCTAGGTCTGGGCACGAGACTGTACATGGCCGAAAATTTTTAAAGAAAGTTAATATTTCAAGCTACTTACGGAGTAATAGAAATGTGGCGAAGCCAAATTTACTGTCCTTTGTTTTGGGGCTCAGACAAAATGTGCATGTTGTTCCATTACATTGCTGGTTTTTACCAGAACGACATGTGGCCATAACTTTTAAACTTCAGAAATATATCCAATAATGAAATGCCCTTTATACTGGAGTACCTTAACCAAGGAATTCGTTATAGAAATAGCAAAATATTATATAATTAATAAAAACTAAAATAAAATAAGATAATAAGAACAGTTTCTAGAGAATTTTATGTTATGTTCTTTACTTAACAGTCAGTTCTTCACTTATATATTTTTAGACTTTTCAGCATAAAAGACATTTAACAATTCAGCATATATACTTTATCAGAGTTTATTTATAAGTGAACCATTCTAATCTAATTAGATTGTAGTACCACAGCTCTTTCAAACAGATTTCGAATCGCGTTTGCTGATATACTGGTTTACTCCAAAAATATAAGGTGGTAAATTATTACATATAATACATAATTAAAAGAAATATCTGTCATAACTTACCGCACGTCGGTTGGACAGATGTCCAAGTCCCGTCACTCTGACATGTAAGGGAGACTGGTCCATCGATTGTCGCTCCTTCATCACATTGGAAATTAACTGAAGATACAGTTCCGTCTGATACCACTTCAAAATTACCATCCGTTGTAGCGTTTACGGTCGGGCACCCGACTGAAAGTTTAAAATTTATGTTTACATTAAATTTCAAGCAGTTATGTTTATTTCATTTGTAAAATGAAAGACGTTTCCATTCGAGCGCATTCAAATACCTCCATGTTCATAATTTTGTATATTGTATAGTAATTTATAATTATGATTATTTGATGTATGTTTATAAATGGAATGACATATCAATTAAACTTTGGACTGCGTGTATCAGTGCCTTGATTCTAGGTTGAAATCATCTATATCATTCAAAATAAAAAGACCTATTTTAGACAGACAATTTCAAACTTGACATGGAACTTATATTGACATTAGATTTATAAGAAACCGTTTACCACACAACGGTTGTGTGCCGCTCATTCCAGATCCATCGGTTGCACAGGATCTTGTAGCAATTCCATCGATAGAGTATCCTACGTCACATGTGTACGTCGCTGTTCCATTTTCAATAAAAATGTTAACATTACCATTGTCCGGTGAAGTCACGTTATCGCATGCTAAAATAAAATCAACAACATATTGAGAGTAAACAAAAGAAGTGTTAGTAACATACAAAATTTAATAATATTCTGATTCATTACCAAAGAAAATATATTTATTCCTCAAATTGATATTAAAACAAATTCGTATATGATACATCCATATATTTATAATGTAACAGGACGCCAGTACCTATTAGTTCTAGAGCGCGGAGTTGATAGTTGCTCATATAAACTATAACTTTTCTTTACAATATTGCATCAATAAACACTACTTGAAATGAGTCATAATTTTGCATTATAATTATTTGCGTTGTTTAAACTTTAACTACTCCAAACTTCTAAACAATTACCCCTTACCACAGAATGGTTCATCAGCATTCCAAACTCCATCCGAAGAACAAACCAACAGATCTTCGCCAACAATATAATAACCCGTGCTGCATGTGTAATTGGCCGATGTTTGGATATTATTACTAGATATAACCAATGAGCCACTTGTAGGCGGAGTCAGGGTGGGACATGAAACTATAAAATACAAATATTCACATACAATGGAAACGTACTTTGGATAATTTTATTGAAAATTTTCTTCCGAATAGTTAAGATGGACTTTAAATTCCGTCAAAAACTAATGTGGCTGTCAAAGTAAAATGTGTTTTGTTGAAAAAAAAAATGGTCTCTCCTTTTTTAAAAAAAAATACACTGCTATTGTTTACAACTTTGGTTTAACGCAACAGGTTTTTTATATACACCGACTTTCATTTGATTTTTTTTTTCATTTTCATTCATTCATTCATTCATTCATTCATTCATTCATTCATTCATTCATTCATTCATTCATTCATTCATATTTTTGGTCATAAAAATCGTGTCCACAAGTTTATTTAGTAACTGAATGGTAAAAAATGTGTGATACTTGTAAGTGCTCCAATTAAAAAACATCAAAAATGTATTCAAAATTAGTTTAAAAACTATGTACTGGATCATTTTGTGTCTGCCTGATTTATTTTGACAACATATAATGTGGATAAATTACCACAATTTGGAGCCAGTTCAGACCAGGAACCATCCTCCAGGCAGATCATTGTCTGTGTCCCATTCATTGAAAAACCAACGTCACAACTAAATGTTGCAATCGTAACTGTTCCATTTGATGTTAAGTTAACGGAGCCATCTGGTGGATCCGAAAGCGCGTCACAAGTTGCTGGAACAAAAACAATTATATCAAAATAAATTACCGATATGAAGCATCACTATTAACACAAGAACAATAATTCCCGTCAAATAAAACAGAAAAAACACTTATTTTGCCTACATATGCATTTGCATAAACTAATCCTAACGACGTCGAGCAAGCAAACAAAAATAAATGTAGTCCTACGCTTTAATTCACGAGGTTGTTATGTACATAAATATAAAACAATATTAAACGCATTCCGGGGTAGAAAAAAAACCAAAATACATGTAATAGAAAAATTCAAGTTGACGTTTTCAATGGGTAGAAACTCGCAAATACATTATAGCGTATATCCCCATTTTTTGATTTTATCTTCTCAAATTTCTCTGATGGTCTCTTTTGTAAGGGATACTTAGGCGAATATTCCACCTCGGACGGATTTGTTTTAATAAAAATACTCGGGGGAATAATACTTATAGTTTTCTTCCGTGCGATAATTTGGTATAACAATCTTACTGCAAGAAGGAGCGGATTCCGTCCATCCTTGACCATTGTCTTGACAAGTCCTTATCGGCACCCCTTTCATTATGTATCCTTCATCACAACTGTATACTGCTGTCGTTTTATTAGACGTCACTGACCCAAATAAAGGCGAAGATGGAGCCACGCAGACTATGTAGAATATAGACAATTAAACTGTGAAAAGGTCCATTCACACGCCAGCTTAATACAAATTTGTGTCATCAGTATTATTATTCAACAAATCGCTAATAAAATGTATAAAGTTCAAAGGTAAATAGCTACATTGTATCATAAGATGAATGAGTGCAAAGTCAGCTAAGCATTTTTACGAAAAGATTGTGGATCCTGGAAATATTTATAGGTAAAATTATTTTGTAATTTAATATATAGTATCACAGTTTTACAGAATGCAGTACAGTTGGGATCAATTTACAATGTGAAACTTATACAAGTTATTTAATAACTGTGTATGCCAATGATTAAGGAATATGATAAGGTAGTTATTTCGTGACATTGAATACTAGAAAATAGGAGTATGAGTAAAAGAATAAGAAAAACATGTACTGGTTTGAGAAGTGATCAGAAAAAGGATGTGATGCTAAATCAATGAGTTGCTACAGTGTACATGTAATAAATTTGCACACGAACTTATCTAAAACTGCGATCTGAAATGTTAATGTATTCTTAATGTTTCAAAGCCGAACAGCTCTGTAAAATATATTAAAAGAAAGTATATTTAATCAGTAGATGTAAATTCGGTGAATTTGATCGAACAACTGCTCAAAATGTCCATATTCATATATCATATTACAGCATAAGGGCGGGTCGTTATCCCAGGTTCTGTTTGTTAAGCACGATAAAATCGCATTTCCTTCCATTTCATACTCGGATGCGCATGTGTAAACAACTTTGGTTGTCTGTCCGTCTGTTGTAAGATTCGAGCTGCCACTTGTTATATTCACAACTTCTGGACAGCTTTCTGTAAGAGAAAAAGACATGAAAGCTTACGAAAAGCTTACAAAGGTATTTTGTTACCTCACTTACTTCGAATTTATTAATATAAGTAATTTTGGTTCGGATCCCAAAGGAGACGTGACATTTTCACTTACGATAAAGAAATCCTTGTAAAGGTAAGTGCTTCTATCTAGAAGCGCATATCGTCACCTTAATGCAGTAACAGGTTAACTAGTATTAAATTATATGAACAGTTAAGCCATTACTGCACTTAAGTGACGATATTAGCCATTACTAAAGTATATCACGGCTACATTGTTAAAGAATCGCGTCAAACAGTCAATGTCTCCAATTTACTTCCTATAACCTTTATACGTAAGTGTGACTTCAGTCAAAAAAGCAAAAGAAATTAATAAATATAGACGGTCGATGAACATTATAAAAGTAAAAGTATTACATCCATAGAACCGACTTATGAAAAGTTAACTGAGCACTGAGAATAAAGTAAACTTAAAAATTTAAAACTCCTGATTATGTTTGGTACGGTGGTAATCAAGGACGATCAAATTTGAAAGATATGTCACATTCAAAGAAAGAGGCATATATGGCACCCAATCGAATGAATTAAAAACTGTTGAAAGTGGAATGTAAAAAAAAAACCCGATACGTTCGTATCTACATTTTTGTATATAATATTTAACCCAGCGCAGATCTTTAAAATTGAAATCAAACAAAATATACAAATTTATCACCACAAACACTTTGCTGATGTGACCAAGTACCATCTTGCCCGCATTGTAAAGTTGGTTCTCCAGAGAGAGAGTAGCCAATACCACATGAATATATAGCAGAGGTTTGAGTTCCACTAGTAACAAGAGCCAAATTACCACCAGATAGCGAAGAAAGATCTTCACACTTAGCTGAAATAAGCAACAAAACTTTAATAACAAATCAGATTAAATTGCTGACAGTTCAAGTTTAACCATACCAATATAACTAACAACGGACGGTTCTATAGTCAAAGGACAAGTTCACTGAAAAAAAATTGCGGGAAATAAAATGTAAATAATTTTGTATTCACCCTCGCGTTAAAGAATCTTGTTTATTGTGACGAATTTTTGTTTTAAAATATTATTCCACCTGTCTACTCGTATAATATCTTTTTGGCAGATTTTTTGTCACCTTCTTTCGTTCCCTTGAGTGGCCCGTGGCCGAGTGGTTAAAGTCGTTGACATCAAACCACTTGCCCCTCACCGCTGTGGGTTCAAATCCCGAAAGGATTTTGGATTATTTCATGTGAGGAAGCTATCCAGCTAGCTTACGGAACGTCGGTGTTTCTACTCTGGTACCCTTCGCGCCTGAAATAATGCACGGAAGGGCATCTGAGATCTTCCTCCACCAGTAAAGCTGGAACGTCGCCATATGGCCTTTTCTGTGTCGGTGTAACGTAAAACCCAATCAAACAAAATCGTTCCACCTTAAGATCGTTTGTATTGTATTGAGATAAATAATGTTTATAAACATTACCTACATAATGCATTGCATAAATTGGCAATTGATTTAACTATATATGTTTACGTACTACAATTTGGCTGTACAATATTCCATCCTGACCCATCAGTTCCACACGTCAACGTTTGTTCCCCTACCATTGTATAGCCGGAATCACAAGTAAAAGTTGCAGTTAGTCCATCACCCGAAATATTCACATTACCTCCTTCAGTTAAATCCGGTGTTAAGCACACTGACAACAAATATTGGGAATATTAATTGCTGGATAAAAGTAATATCAAAGACTTTTATGGAACAAAGATATACCCGACTATAAAAAAGCTTGCAGTGACAAGTGCAGGTGGCGATGTTTCAATTACATACAGAACCCCGGTCGGTAAATTGGGGACCTGTGCAATCTTAAAAAAATATTATATACTGCCGGCAACATAAAACTTGAATAAGTTTAATATTGATAATAATAAGTTAATTGCTACATGTATACCAACAGAAGTTCAACATATACTACTGGCTTTTCAGTATTATGAATTGTTTTCGATCCGTTATTTGAAAAATTTAAATAGAAAGGTTGTTACAAAAGTCAACAAATACGTAATTATCAATTAAAGTAGCATTATGCTCATTATTTCATTGTCAAGTTTAGCAAAATTGGCAACATGTTCCAAAAAATCGACTGTTGGTGATTGATCATCAGTTTATATTGGGAAATATTCATAACATACCGTTATAAGAATCTGACCAAAATACAAAAATAAATAAAAAGGAACTATGGCAAAATGTAAAATTATTTTGACTTTCACCTGGTCACTCACTATATACCATTGGATGGACATAATGTCACTTTAAAAATATGCAATATTAATTGACTCGCATTTTCGTTACCATCATAAAAAATATATCCATCGCGGTGAATTCCTTATAAATAACTGATATCAGTATTATAAGAATAGCTCATAATCTTAATAAAATTTACCACAGTCTGAAGGGCTCGAACTCCAAGTGCCATCAGTGTTGCAGGTAAGTTCCTGAGAGCCACTAACTTCATACCCTTGTGGACAATTGTAAACAGCTTTTGTTGTTGTACCATCCGTATCTATTGTCACGTTACCCGTACTTATTGATACACCAGGAAGACTTGGACACCTTACTGAAAATTAAACCAGCAATTTGTATATCATAATAAAACATTTAGTATTTGAAATTCAAATGCTCTCCATAGATATAAAAAAGAAGGCTACTCAATGAAAACTACCATTTTCACAATATGCTCATGGGGTAAAAGGTCAAGAATCACCAATCACTTGATAAACATTAAATTAGTAAAAAGTAATTGCATTCACTTTTTTATTCTTTTTTCTTCTTTTTTCTTTTTACAAACATGAACCAGAAGTCAGATTCCTTAAAAAGTTATGCCTGTAAATAAACATTTGATTAAACGGAAATGCTTTGCCAATTTAAGTTTAGCTTTAAGTCATCCTTAACAGGAGGTAAATAAAGGCAGCAGACAAACTGTCAGGTTCAAGAAATATAAGCTATACCACAAGTTGGTTCTGAAGAGAGCCAAGTTCCGTCTTCTTGACATTCAGGTGTTGGTACACCATCAAGACTCGAGCCAATACTACAACTGTATACAGCAATAGTCTGTGTTCCATTTGTTACCAAAGTCACATCACCTCCGCTAGGAGCCGCTATATCTTCACATTTTGCTTGAAACAAAACAATATGTAAGTTTAAAGGTAGTTTTTGTGCGTTTTTGTGCACGTTTTCTTTTCTTATTTCCTTTTGCCAATGAAAGAATTGAAGTTAATAAGAAATAAAGCAAGGACTACTGCTTATGCCTTGTGTTGCGATGTAACAACATTTTAAACTTGTCAAACAAAGATGCGTATGCATCGGGAAAAACATCTCCTCGGGCGACTTTTATAGTCTTTAGAGAACTCGCATATAAAATACACAAGCAACGCTCTGGACCATCGTGCATAAAAATAGATTCCTTCACACTAATCGCAGATGTTCTATGTAAGTAATCGGGGTAGGGATGCACTTAAGTGTATCTTAAAGATTTATAAACAGTATTTGGCCTGTTTTAAAGAAATAATTGTCAAATCAGTTAAATATATGAAGTTGGTTCAATAGTGTACTTACTGCAATTTGGAAATTCAAGATTCCATCCGGAACCGTCTATTGTACATGTGACATCGTGGACACCATTCATCGTATATCCTTCGCCGCAATCGAAAATTATACTCAAGCCATCCTGGGATAATGTGTAATTCCTACCCTCCTCAATAACTGGTGTTTTGCACACTTAAACAAAACAGTTGTAAATATGGTTTGAAGAAGAGACATATCGAGATTTTGTAGCTGATCTATCATTATATCAGATTCTTTACCTGCCGCTGTATTTCAACCAAACCGGCCATGGTTGCAACCCTAGCCCCACTATCAACACGTAGCAACTCATTTTTAAGAGTGACAAACTATATTAGACTGGCTGGGTTTTATGTGATTGGTAGACAAATTTGAGTACTAGTATACTGATAAAAATAACCATAAAAATATCTAAATTGAAAGGTAAATGTTTGTTTATTTCCGATAAAGTGTAAACTCGAGTTGTCAATACATCATTTCAAAGTAGCAGCCGAATAGTTTGTAAGGGAATAGTTAATTCTGTTTTGTAAACTTGTACATGTTGAATACATATGTGTTTAAGAGAGCATTTTGCTAGAATTACCTATCGATATGATAAAAAAAGAACAAAATGGTAGGGTACAGTAACAGATTGTTTGTATACATTTAGACAGTTTTAGATTGCCACTCTTTAATAATTCAAGACGAATGATGAACTGATGAAATAGTCATAGATTACGATAGCGAAATAATAGAAGCAGATGTAAAACAGAAAAGATAACAAAGCCAACAAATGAAGGAGATATTTTGCAAACTGATATTCATACACATATATACAATCATACAAAGATGGAGCATAAATAATTTACAAAACCAATACCTTTAATTGTACAGTTTTTGGATAAAAAACTTCAAAATTCAGATACATAAATGTGACCTTTTACATCTTAGAACTGACCTTTCATAGTGCGAAGAAAATAGACCTTGAATTGCAGAGGAAAGCTGCAATATTAAATGTTTATAGTACATCATACAGTTTTGTTGTTGAAGCCCTTAACCTGTATAGAAAGCAAGAATCACTACAAACAGGCATACCGCAAGTCGATGGAGCACTGTTCCACGCTCCACTTGAGTTACAAGTCAGAGTTTCCGATCCACTGACCTCGTACCCTGTCGGACAAGTATAAGAAGCTGAAGTCGTAGTACCGTTAGATGAAATTGTAACTGAGGCACCGGCTACAACAAGGCTTGGTAAATCTGGACATGACACTGAAAATAAAATTGAAAAATTGAAAAATGAAACAGTAATCTGGATATAAACATGATCGTTGCATCTGAATAAATTGAATTTTCTTCTGTTGTAATGTTAATAATCAAATATCTAAACTAAGTTTGATTGGACTACACACACTATGAATAATTCTCAAAAAGGCTAGATTTGCATAGTGTTCATATATAAGTACAAATCAGTGCGACTTTGATTGTCTTGTTTACAATATAAAGTGGGTCTATTCGAAAACTAGTCTTGTCGTTCATTTAATTCATAAGTTGATTTATTTATCCGGATGCTGACAGTAAGTGTGTTTGATCAAAAGCCAATTCATGTCGGGAATAAAGTACGACAGTACGGTCATAACAAAACTATATATGAAAGTTGAAATTTTGTCGTGGGACTTAAAGTAGATTTGGACTTCTTCGTAAAGCAAACATTGTAGTTTACAAAATAAGTAGAATATAAACCGCATGTCTGTTCAACTGTTGTCCATGTTCCGTCTTCTTGGCAAGTTGGTACTGTCGATCCGTCCAGAGTGTATCCAACTCCGCATGTATAGACTGCAGTGGTCTGAGTCCCAGTCGTCACCAAAGTGATGTTGCCGTTGTATGGTGACGTTAGGTCTTCACATTTAGCTAAAAATCAAAGAGGGAAATTCAGAAAGTTATCTTAAATACATGAATAGCAAACTTGGCCAATCAATGTTCTTGGAAAGGAAAATGTTCGATGTGTCTTTTTTTCCTTTTCTTGTTTACCGTTTACTCTGAAATCATTGCCAATAGGTCAAGAAAGCAAAGTTAGTGTCAAAGTTTTCGGGGACGCAAACAAACAAGCTTGTTTTATACAACAACAACAATAATGACAATAAATCATGTTGTTTTAATGGTTTTAATATTGCTATCATTTGGTCTTTACGAAATGTTGACAGTAACTTTTGGAAACGAAAGATAAATGATAAAGCTCGGCACACGTTTTAAATAACTTACTTATTACTTATAACAAATTTATACATTTTGTTAAAAAATAAACAGAGAAAAAACATCAACAAACGTTTATTTCATTTTCATACTTACTACAATTCGGATACTCAAGTGCCCATCCGGAGCCATCTGTACCACAGGAAATCGTCTGCTGCCCTACCATTGTATAACCTTCCCCACATACGAAACTGACGCTCAATCCGTCCTCTGATATTGTGAAATTCCCTCCATCTGGTAAACTTGGTGTTCCACAAACTTAGGGAGAAATCAAGAAATACATGATAAGTAGTCTCATAGATTACTTTGCCACCGTATAATAAGATAAGTATCTATTAGTAATTTGATCCAGTTTTCAATACAACTTTGTTCAGGAGAGACAGTTTACCTGTAACTGTTTTTTAACCTGTAACTGTTTTTACCTGTTCCAGAGCCAATTTTGAGGTCAAAATTCAAGATATTTTAAAGGCCTATATCATGCTGATATACATTTTAGAAGGGATGAATTCAGAGCCGGATTTGAGAAGGTTATCTGTAAAAATGCGAATATCGTGAATGCATACAATTCACAGACATCTATAAGAACATATTTACATTTCTTTCAATACGGGAATATCAATGAATGTTACGCAGAAATCTTTTATCAATCTTGAATATGAAACAACCTGATTCAAATTTATCTGCATTGTTTATACTTAAAAGAAAATAATAACACTAATCAATACCACAGTCAGATGGCTCATCGCTCCATGTCCCGTCCGAGTTACAAGTAAGCGTCTGAGAGCCCTTTACTGCATAACCTTGCGGACAACTGTACTCAGCTGATGTTGTCGTGCCGTTTGTTACAAGTGTGACAGAACCCGTGCTCACTGATACAGGTTGTAATGCCGGACATGACACTGAAATGATATTGAACGGAATCTTCCATTAATTTATCATAAACGCAATAACAATAAGCATTTTAATGCAGCAGTCATTTGTATGTCTTGGCCTTTGCAGCTCTACCCCGGACAATTAGGTGATTTTCGGGATAAATAAGCAGATTGAAACAAAAAGTTTTTTTTATCCTTCTGTTTTTCCTTTCCCTGACAGGTAAATCCGTTTACTTCACTTTATTAAGTCATTACAGCGGAGGTAATTTCAAACTCGCAATGCAACGTCATTTAGAAGGGGATTTTTACTATCAGACTGTCCCACAGGGCAAAGCATTGACCAAGGGGTTAAGAATCAACAGTTAAAGCCCCACCACCACCCTCCCATTTCCCCAGGGATGGGAGCTAGGCTAAATATGACTGGTGCATTATGATTAAAGACTTAATATCTTTATACCTGACATTGTGACTTTTTTATTTGATTACTAGTCATTTAAAAAATACCTTGTTTTGGATTTGAGAATACTATACATGGGATGTTATGCTTGCAAAATTTGCAAGTAGTAGACAATGACATTTATTTTTCAAAGCCGAACGTGCTTGATTATGTTAAACTAATAAAGCAGTTGTTCTATTCCAAAAGTATCAAAAGTATTCCAAAAGTATTATATTCAACGCTTTTTAACGCTTTAAACAATTACAGTTGGCTGCTCCTCTCCCTTCTGTTGGTTGTTTTACCCACAAGTATCCCCCATTATTAGCCCTTTACTGTTGTTACATTTACGTCACATTCTTACCGCACTCTGGCAAATCTGCTTCCCAGTAACCACTTGAATTACAACTAGCTATATGGTTCCCTTGAAGACTTGAACCCTCGGGACATGAATATTCTACTCTGGTAGCTGAACCATCACTTGTATAACTCACATTTCCACTCGTAAAACTATCAAGACTTTGGCACTGAGCTATTAAAGGTAGATGAAAAGAGGGTTTTTTTATAAATATTGTTTCGCTTTAAACCGAAATATGCTGCCGTTTCCATCTAAATTTTCCAAATATTTATAACAAGGCGCAATCATTTAAAAAAAGAGTGAACTTTCAACTACATACTTCTGGGGTGGAATCTTTTTGCAAAAAATAGGATAAAAAGCACCACATTATTTGTTGAAAAGAAACTTTCTTACTAACTAACATAATATATTTGATAAAGTAGTATTAAATTCATATACTAGTTACAGACCAAGAAACATCACCAAGTTTTGAAATGGGTAGTCACATACCGCACTGTGGTGTTGCTATACTCCATCCAGTCCCGTCATTGTTACACGTTCCCGTGCTGTCACCGGACAGTGTAAAGCGCGTATTACAAGAAAATGTCACAATTTCACCATCTGCATTAACACTTCCATCGACAGGTGCAACAGGTGTCTCACATTCTTTAAAATACATTAAAGTAAAATGAAAGAGAAGTTCGTCATACACGCTTTCAAAACCACTAAATAGATCTAATATATAATACTAATATAACTATGCGGTATTAATAATAATACATGTTCATTTACAAAATAAATTGAAAGAAAGTTCTCTTAAATGCGCTGATTTGTTTCATGTCATACCGACACAGGTCATATGACGACGTTTCAGCTTTACTGGTGGAGGAAAACCTCAGGTGCCTTTCCGTGCATTATTTCACGGCGCCTGCGTAAAACCACCGAAGTTCCGTAGGCTAGTTGAATAGCTTCTTCACATGAAAAAATCTATTGTCCCTGTCGAGATTGATTCCAAAGCGGTGAGGGGCAAGTGGTTTGAAGTAAACGACCATAACCACTCGGCCACGGACGCCCCAAATGATGCTGAAGTTATATTACTATAGATTATATAGTAACGGCGGAAGGGTCCCATACCGCTTTCCATAAATATGGTATAAAAATGCCACCGTCTCATCTATAAAATATAAGATTTGAAACTTTAAGATATCCATAAAATCATATGCCCTAATAAACTACATGTATAATATGTGTAAAAGCAAACTTCGGTCGATCAGTCCACGCCAAAATTAAAATAATTATCATCAGTTATAAATTGAATTTTATTAAATATGTCAAAATTTGTTATTGTGGTTGGTTTTGAAGCCTGAAGTAAAACTTGAATTTCTTGAGTAAAGTATAATTCCCAAAACATGCAAAAAATGGTCTAAAAGGACTTGTTCAATTTTGGATTCCGAACAAGCCATTCAAAAATAATTGAGCCGCGTCACGACATAACCAACATAGTGCGTTTGCGACCAGCATGGATCCAGACCAGTCTGCGCACCCGCGCAGTCTGATCAGGATCCATGCTGTTCGCTTACAAACCCTATAACAAGTAGTGAAACTGATAGCGAACAGCATGGATCCGGATCAGACTGCGCGGATACGCAAGCTGGTCTGGATTCATTCTGGTCGCAAACCCATTATGTTGGTTTTGTCGTGACGCGGCTCAAATATTTTCAATATCAAAATAGGGAACATTGAGTTACCGACAGTATATTGTCTTGTCAAACAGCACAGCTCTAATAGGCTGACTTGGCTCTATACTGGTTGAAAATGCCAATTCCTTCCGGGTCTTCAGTTAAAGAGATAAATGACTTTAGATACACTCACTACATTCAGATGCCGGGTAATTCCAGTTTCCATCTTTCCGACAAGATATAGTCTGTATTCCTAATAAAGTATAACCGTCCGCGCACGTGTAAGCACCGGTGGTCGTTTGTCCGTCTGTACTAAGAGTCAGATTACCACTTGCAGGATGATCCCTGTCTTTACATTGAACTGTTATAGTAAGAAAATCTTAATGAATGATAAATTTGTTAATGAGAATAGATATATTTATACTAGCTTGCTGATCGTGGGAAATGTATAATTTACTATTGGAGGAGAAGTACCACATGCAAGACTTATCATGTTTTGCATTCCATATAGATTTAGCAATATTTGGCATTTATAGCATGTGTATATATAAATCAGAAATATCTCGATTATAATTATGCTGTTAGGAATCTACTTTTGAACTGAATTATATTTGACTGTCAGGTTTAATCCAACAAACAAACAAACAAACAAACAACAACAACAAACAAGAACTATTTGTCACTTTTACTTACAAAACAACCATAAACATATAGATTGATACGCAAGAATAGAAAATACAAACTTACCACACTGTGGGCTATTATTATCCCATAGTCCAGTATTTTGGCACGTGAGGTCGCTATACCCATCCAATGTATATCCAACATCACAATTAAACGTGGCCTTTGTAACAGTATTATCATCACTGTATAGAGTGAAGTTTCCGCCACTCGGTGCTGTAAGTGCTCCACATTGCGCTGGGGGATGGATTGGAAATATTTAGCAGAACGATAATAATTTCAATACATTATAGTTTCATAATATCATTTATCGAATAAAACATTTTTGTTATTGCTATCTGTTGTAATTATTTCTAAAGATAATACGGATACTAAGGATATAATGAAAAGGGTTCTTCATTAGTATATCAAACTTTTCATGCGGTATTTCCGATATTTTCACTCGCCTATGAGAGTACAATTTTATAAAATATTGAGCATGAGAAAGTAATCAAAATCCAGTTAAATCAAGCAAATATCCTACAAAGATGTCATACTATATCATGAGCTTAGCATACAACTAATGAAAATGACACTTTCACATTTTTAAAAACATAAATCAAGTTGTATATCATTAAATCGATTTCAATCAATGTTACCGCATTGGTTATCAGATTAAATGCAAATGTATGGTAAGATTCCTACTGCACGTGGATTGACTAGAATCCCACGTGCCGTCAGAGTTGCACGTGATCTCCTTCTTTCCGCTGATACTGTAACCAATGTCACATGAATATTGTACTTTTGTGTTCACACCGTCCGTTGTTGATTGCACAGAGCCTCCCGAGACTACGTTTAGAGCTTCGCATGGAACTAAAATGACCGATTTAATATTTCAATGTAAGTAATACATAAAATAACATTTCATTCCATTGAGCTATGAAAATTGCTTTATACCTATAATGAGATTTACCATTATTTTTTAAAAGTTGTTTGTCGTCTAATATCTAAAACTGACAAGCAAACAATACCGTATACATGTCAAACTGGCCGGATGCATAAGCCGACTGTGATAGCTGTAGTGTCATTCTTTATCACAAGACTTTTCGAAAATAGATCAATATATTTTAGCCTGCTGAGAAATTGTCTTCTGCTAAAAAGAGTCGGCTGCTGATCTTTTTAGATTTTATCTACTTTTTTCAAAATTGGAAAAAAAAATTACTGTCAAATAGCATTATCTTTGAACCTTACCAGTCTCTGAATTCTGGTTTGCTGCTAATCTACAGGCAAATGCTTTTGATGATGATCGCTGACAATAGTCTAAAAGTTCCAATGTTCACTTACCGCATATTGGATCATTGCCGCTCCAGCCTGTCCCATCAGAGGCACAGTCTCGGTAACTAGAGCCATTCATACTGTAGTTGACGTCACACTGGTAATATACGGACTCCCCGTTATCTGACAATATCGTCCCATTAGCTGGTACAGATGCCGCGCTACAGGCTATAGTTTCAAACGAAAAAAAAAAAACGATTTAAAGATAAAAGTACATGTATATTTTACTTGATAGTTTGCCAATTAAAAATGAACACGTAATTATGATTATGAAGTTGCATGTACCTGGAATCACTTGACGATGAATATTAACGATTAAAGGACCATTCTGTTGTTTTTATTTTCAATTTCAGAAATAAATTTTTCAGCATATAATACCACCACGTACAACATGTAGGCTGTGTGTTTGTCCATGTACCGTCTGTTTGGCAGGTGCTTGTTGACTGACCGGAAATGTCATACTCGGGTGCGCATTCGTACTGCGCTGTGCTTGTGACGCCATCTGTATTTATAGAAACTGTACCACTATCCGGATTTGTCAAATCTGGGCATTTCACTTGAAGAAAATAGGAAACATTCAATAAGCATTATAACACAAGACATTGTATGTGGATATTGAAACAATTCAAGAATAGAAATTATAGCAATATTGGTGCAGTCAGGCCACGTTTTTAGTCGACAATCATTCTACCACGACGATACAGAAATGATTACATACATTGTTCGTTCGTCTGTTCGATTAATTTTGACGATAATCTGTCAGCCATTTTGTGTACAGTGAATACGAAACGCGGGTGTGTAAACTGTCGTGCCATAATACTAAAATTGAAGGCGGTAATTTCATTATTATGGGAATTGACCTTCATCGTGAAGTTTCATTTCACAAGGTGTCTTTGAGACGGTAGCTTATGTCAAACATAATAAATAATATATTTATGTCATAGTGTATAAACAAAATCTGGACAGAACTTGTCTTTATTTTTGATATTGGTTCGTTTTGTATTATTTTTGAAAAAAAGATATCGCAATGAATTAAAAAGAAACTTATTCAAACAAATGAAAACATAAAACTTACCACAAGATGGCACTGTGCCATTCCAGGACCCGTCATTCAGGCAATACGAGAGCTGTTCCCCTAACATGGTGTAACCGACATTACATGAATATGTTGCCAATGTAACTTCACCATCAGTTGACAAGTTAAAATAACCGCCAACAGGACTTGCGAGAGCCTCACAATCATCTGTAATAATAAAGAAAACAAGCTTAAACAGTTACATTATATAACTTTTTCATTAACAGCTATTCTTTACTCCTATTAAAAGGGTCGTTTGAAAATATCAAAACCATGAAAAAGACGGTATGCAGTAAATGTTTCGTTTCGTCATTTCCAGACCTTTTTCCCACCAAGACGCAAAATAGAAGACACGAAAGAATAATTATAATCAACATTTAGTTTGTAATCTTCCTTAAAACAGCTCTTGATTCCAAAAATTAGCCAAAACAGTTGTGTAATAAGATACGATACGATACAACACGATACAATACAATACAATACAATACAATACAATACAATATAATACAATATAACATATATTGATGTTGTTTTTTAGGTGATAAATCATTTAGAAAGACAAGCATATTTGAAATAGTTATGCAACATGTCATTTCTGATAATATGCTAAAAATAATACATTTTGTTCAAATTAGACTGATATTCATCAACTTTGTTAGTTTACTATTTCGATAAATAAATCATTATTTAAAACTAGAACTACAAATTTTGATGAATAAATCTACAAAAACAGCACGATTTAAAATGTGTTATATAGCTTCCTTAGATAACAAAACAAAAAAACAAAAACAAAAAAACAGAAACATTTGTCCCAGTACACCTATTATTTTCAAAAGGGATAATATTAGTAGATAAAATCCACTAACATACCACAGGAAGGTGGATCAGCACTCCATCCTGTGCCATCATCTAAGCACTCTGTTACAGATGAACCTATAAGATTGTAACCTACGTTACAGGTGAACTGGGAACTTGTTCCGTTACCGTCTCGACTTCCATTAGCGGATGCTGTTTGTTCGTCACATTCTAAAATGAAAATGTGAATCATCATCATCATACAATCATCATTATCATTACCATCATCAATATGATCAGTCGTTATCATTATCATTATCATCATCATAGTTATCATCATAACAATATATACCATCAACATCAGTATCACCATATGCTTCATAACTTACATAAATACAAGTCAAACCATTTTTATGACCACCTGTGTATAACGTTCCTATTCAAGTAAAGGAGAGCAAATCAACCAATTAGTGTATAAAACCGATAAAAAATGATCAGAGCACTGAGGATCGGTGGTTGTACTCATGCATATGCCTGTTTGTGTTTAAAACTTTGCACGAAAGTCATCAAAGGTTTTCCACCACCGGTAAAGCCGGAAAATAGTGATGTGACCTGTTTTACTGGTACAAGTATAATAGACAATAAAATATCTATCAAAATGAATGGAAAAAAAGTCTAACCACATGTTGGAATGGTCTCCCAAGTACCAGTATTATCACATACGGCCGAACTTGCCCCTACCACGTGATATCCTGTGACACATGTAAATGTAGCCGTGCTCGTGTAACCGTCCGTAGTGATTGCCAAGTGCAGCGTGTCAGTGTTTGTTATGTTGTCACATGATACTGAAAATAAAAGAATATACATGTATTTAATTTAACGTAACACCAAGAAGAAATAAGAAATAAAAAAGAAATAATTTACATCATTTTGAATTCTTCTATATTTTGTTTTCCTAACTATCTTATATGAATTATTTCTTTCCCTTTTTTAAGAATTTTAAGCGAAAATTATTTCAATCATTTACACGCTTTTCATCAGTGTTCATGTCAGAGGAAATATTCCGAGCATCACGAAACCCAATGACACAAATCTGTCTTCACAGTGTAACGGATTTAATCTAAGTCTGCATGAAAAAATCGAGTTTGCCAATGTCACGATATCCGATATTTACAAGCACTATGCAACCTTTTTGGATGGCTATTTAATCTTAGCATCACAAATAATTTTAACTAACACTTTAATAATTGATACAATTATAATTGATAGGAAAATAAACAGATATTTTATATAATAATTATCAATGTTAGCAGAGTATGCAATTAGATAGTAGGTAAAATTATTACCGCAAGTTGGTGCGCTAGTATCCCATGTTCCCGCCAATAAACACGTGGAGTTTGGAGCCCCTACAAGCGTGTAACCAGCCGTACACGTGAACGATGAAATGGTAGTGGTACCAGTGCTGGCTGGAGTGATACTTAGACCAGATGTTATAGGGATGACGTCGCAGGGATCTGAAATTACAAGCAAGTATGATTCAAAGATGTCAAAGATTAAAATTTAACCATCCATTGACTTTTATCTCCATTTTCCAAGTGTTTCTAGCAGTGAACAGACTGTCCAAATTAAAAGGACGCATCAAAATATTAAGCCATTAATATAAAGACTTTGATATATCTATATCCATCTTTTTTTGTCTAATCTCAAGCTACTAAGAAAATGACGTATTGCCAACAGAAAACTTTCAAAACCAGGTCCCTTCTTGCACAAAGCGGATGCTGAATGCATATGCCTAACTCGCTTTCAACTTTAACAAATGTCAGATAACTTTGACAGTTTTTCTTACCGCATGTTGCTTCTACTCCAGACCAAGTATTTGAATTTGATTGGCAGGTCCGTGTGCGATCACCGTTAAGTACGAATCCAACGTCACAAGAATACGTCAGCGTTCCATCAACTGACGCAACAAGACTTCCGTTTGCAGGAGCAGGTGGTAAAATACAAGCTGAAGAAATATATGTATGCAAGTTTGAACGTGGAAATGTTCGTTATTTTATTCACTTTCTATGGGAATATAATCTTATATAAAAGAGGTCTAAATTTGACAATAACATATTTAGACGTTAAAACAACTTAAAGATTATTAAGTAAATAAACTAAGAACAGATGCATTATTTCTTTCCGGTTTGATACTTTAATGTCGTTTAAGCATTATGTTTTAATAATTGTGCTTTATTTCATTGATATAGATTTTCTGCAAGGTTTCCAGCCAGGCATTTTATACAAGAAATTGCACAATCTATCAAACATTTAACGATTCATATCAGATCCTGCTATACAAATATGCATAATGAATTGCAGATAAACAATAATAAATTTTATACTGACTGCACGTGGGATTTTCATCCGACCACGTGTCATCACTTTGACAGACTCTAGTGTCCGGCCCGGCGAGGGAGTACTCGGAGCTACAGTTAAAGGACGCTGACGTCACCGCACCGTTCGTAGAATAGGAAACAGTCCCACTATCCGGTGCCGTTAACAGTGGACACGTGACTGTCGTGATAGAACACAATATGTTTTAGTTGACTAGAATGCATATTTATATAAAACCAAATCTATTGAGATAGGTAATTTCAAAAAATGAATAAGAGAAAATACTATTTAAAAATGTTTGCCAATTATGTTGAACTGAAAATTAAACAAAAGTTTAAAAAAATTTAATTTATATTTCTATTAAGCTGAACGTTTTCTTTTATAGCTGTACTATGGATATTAATTTTACGTAAATTTAGTTTCTTACTTCAGTAACACACGGTTTTAAACGAACATGTATAACGTCAATTAAATAAGAAATGTACTTACGACAGGATTCTGCAGATGAAAAGAAAGAAAGAAAAACGAATGAAAAATATTAACTTTGTATAAAAGTGAAGAAACATTAGTAACCCATACCTTACTGCGGAATGGACTTAACTTTGTTTGCATTTGGAATAGTCCATAAGTTGTTGCATTGTATACGGATTTAACTTTGTTAAAATGTGTATAGCAAATAAAGTAGCAGGACAGAGTGCATGAATCTGTACGGCCGGCGCGGCTCTATCTTATTGGCACAGGTTTAGAACTATAATTGGTAATATTCAAAGAGTAAAAATATTTTTACTGAGTGTTAACCCCAACCAAAATTGATTCCAACCAAATTGAATGCAATATGATTTATTCATAAACATTGAGAAAAAAAGGTGTTAGTAACAAGTTTTCTCAACCAAAATTTAAAGACATCAGAAAAAAAATGCTACCCCTAGTTAATCGAATGATAGGAAATTATCAGAAATTTAATTTGACAACGTAAGTATAAAGAATAAGAAATCAACTTACCTGTGGACTTTGTCAGTGTAAGAGTGGCTCCATTACTTTGTCCAGTTAGTGCTGGGACAGTCTCCGGGGTTTGATCCCTCCGACAACTGTTCGGCACAATGGAAGCTTTGGTACCGTCCCCCGATATTGACTGACATGAATAAAATACGTTTGTATATTTACATTACAAATACAAGTTTACATCAAAATTTATGTAAGATTATTTAATATGAAATTGTATTGTTATTTATGTTTTTTGTTGTTGGTTTTTTGTTTGTTTGTTTGTTTTCTTTTAATTTATTTCTTATTTTGTATCATTTATTTATTTTATTTATTCATATATTTACAAAAGTTATTTTCGTTGTTTGACAGTAAAGATTATAAAAACAACATTTAAAACATTTGTCAATAAGAGCTTTATTAAAAAAAACAACAAACAAACGGTGGCATGTTTATTGCATGAAACTTGAATAAAATGGATTAAAAACAAACTTTGATGAAGAAATGCATGTTATTCCAGTGACACGATATGTTATTTTTTATGCAGATCTTCACACGTTTGCTTCATCTTGCTTTCCTGACATTCTTTTACAAGAAAAGAACTTTCGAAAAGACAAAAAGGAGTAAAACTTAATGCTTACAAAACATGAAAATCTGTAGACGTCAACGTTATCAATGTCCGCATCAGCGTCATTTCCGTTGTAGATAGTGACGTAATTATCGCCATCAGAGGGAACTGTATCAACACACCACACACTTTCAGATACTGTTGATAAAATATGACATTTTCATAATGTATTAGTACTTTTTAATACGTTTGTTACTATAAATAGTTACAGTTTTGCCAAAAATTTCAATTGATTACATGTATGCGTTTTCGGTCAGCGTATAACGCATGACGCCGTTTATAGAGTTATTTAATCATTGAGCAACTTAGCGCGCTCCTTGACGCCGTTTAAACAGTAATTTAAGCATAACCAAACTATGCGTGCTACCTGAAACCGTGTTAACAGTAATAAAAGTATGCCAAACTTTATGTGCTCACTGCCACCGCTTAAACAGTAATTTAAGCATAATCAAACTATTCGTCCTCTCTGACGCCGTTTAAACCATTATCTAAGCATAATCAAACTGTGCGTGCTCCCTGAAGCCGTTTAGAGAGTAATTTAAGCATAACCAAACTATGCGTGCTACCTGGCACCGTTTAGATAGTAATTTAAGTATAATTAAACTATGCGTCCTCCCTGACGCCGTTTAAACCGTAATATAAGCAAAATCAAACATGCGGGCTCCCTGAAGCCGTTTAGACAGTAATTTAAGCATAACAAAACTATGCATGCTCCCTGGCGCCGTTTTAACAGTAATTAAAGCATAACCAAACTATGCGTGCTACCGGGCACCGTTTTAACAGTAATTTAAGCATAATCAAACTATGCTTGCTCCCTGGCGACGTTTAGACAGTAATTTAAGTATAACCAAACTATGCGTCCTCCCTGACGTCGTCTTAACCGGGCACCGTTTTAACAGTAATTTAAGCATAATCAAACTATGTGTGCTCCTTGAAGCCGTTTAGACAGTAATTTAAGCATGACCAAACTATGCATGCTCATGCGTTGAAAACATTATGTGTAACAGTAAGAATTGACAATTTTCAGGGGTGATTAAGGGAGGAGCTGAAAACTTATGAGGTACTTCCTTTATAGAATATATGAAATTATAAAAATTTAATTCCTAATTAGTAGTTACAATATGTTTTAAAGGACTTTATTACTCTTAATTAGGAGAAATTACAACCTAATTAGAATTTTGTTTAAAAAGTTTAAAAAGCCGTTTTAGGATATATTATGAATGCTTGGAAAAACTAAGTCCTAATTAAAGGTGTCTTTTTTTTTTTTAAGATATAAAGAAGTATAAAATTTTAATAGGATATTTCTAAGTTTGATTTAGGTTTTCTGTTTTTCTTATTTAGTATTTCATAGCTCCTAATTAAGCATAAGAAAGTCGATGATATAATTTTATTTCTACTAATTAGGCTTTTAAAACTTATTTTTAAGATTTCTAAAGGATACTTTGGCTTATTTTTCCTAAGCAAGAGTTAAAAATTTTAATTAATTGTTTCTTGGAGTAAGAAAGTTCTAATTAGATATTTTATTTCGCCTATTTAGAAGTAGTAAAATCCTAATTATTCTTTTATAACTCCTAATAAAATAAGGAAATAGTCCTTATTAAGATTATAAAGCCCCTTAAGAAAAGCAAAGAAGTCCTTATTATAATACTTTTGCAATAGAACATTAAGATTTGGAAGCAAAACACATGTAAGAAAAAATGTTAGAGATTTTCGACCGTGCGACCACATACACGCATCGAGGACATTTCGGGAAAAAAGTGACCGTGCGACCACATACACGCATCACAGATTTCCCCTTCTCATACGAGAAAGGGACAAAGAGCAGTCCGCCCCTAAACAAAATAGGGCAGACTTTGAAATATTGCCTTTACCTGATCGATATTGATAAGGTGGCTATTTCCTTACCAAAATGTTTGAATTGGTTTATATACAACTATAATTATGCAAACCAAGCGGGTTTCAGTTTTCGTCCATTGCAGTTCCTTTTAAAATTTTAAGAATATTTTATATATTTGTTTGGAAAATTCTTAGTTTACAGTTTTATTTTATTTTCATTTTATGTATATTAGAGAATTTTCTGCAAAACATGAACGTTTCAAATACGTTTTTTATTCATTAAATGTTGGAGATATATTTCACACTTTGTTTGCAAATATTTGCTTGAGGGCATCTCGACTTATCCTACTTGCGAAGAAAAGTACCAGAACAGAAGAGGACAGAACTTGTAAAAGGAAAATACCAGTGAGACGGGCTGCAAAAAGATTAATTTTGAGCAGATGATGCAAGCAATCTGGTCGATTATGTACGAAAAACCAGTGTGGACATTTCAACTTCATGAATTCCCAATTTAATCTTCGTTAAATTCACAATTTTAACTTCCTGAATTCATGATTTCAACTTCGTGAACTTCAACTGCACAAACGTACGCTTTCAGCTTCAAGAATTTACGATTTCACCCCGAAAAAATTCACGATTTCAACTTTTCATTGATTAAGCTTCGGGAAATCGCGATTTTAACTTCACGAACTCATTATTTCCACTTTACGAATTCACTATTTAACTTCATTTATTCAAATTCATGTTTTCATTCTTCACGATTTCAACTTCACAAATTCAGGATTTCATCTTCATGAATTCACGAATTTAACTTCATTATGATAAAATTGTGAAGTTCAAAACATAAATTCATGAGGTAGAAACATAAATTCATGAGGTTGAATTCGTGGAGTTGAAATCGTGAATACAAAAACCATGTTTTATCAGAATACGATATATAACAAGAGCACCGCTAGGCGGAGCATTATATGCCCGAAAGTGTTTTTTTTTTAATAAGGATGAAGCATTTATAAGACATGGGAATTAGCTGTTCATCCTATAAAATTTTACAGCTGTAGGTTGATTAATACTTAAGTTATTAATAATGACCTTAACCTTTGACCTCTTTTGACCCCAAAATCAATAGGGGTCTTCTACCTTATATATGGACAATCATCCTAAAAAGTTTGAATATTGTTGGCCACTTGGAACTTTTAATTATGCTCTAGAAACTGTTTTCAGTATTAAGGTAAAAGTGACATTGACCTTTGACCTTGTGACCCAAAATCAATAGGGGTCTTATACCCAATATGGACAATCATCCTACGAAGTTTTGAATATTGTGGCCAAATGGAACTTACTTTATGCCCCGGAAACTGTTTTTTGGTTTTAAGGTAATTGTGACCTTGACCTTTGACCTTGTGACCCAAAATCAATAGGAGTCTTCTGCCCAATATGGACAATCATCCTATGAAGTTTGAATATTGTGGGCCAAATGGAACTTAAGTTATGCTCCAGAAACTGTTTTCAGTTTATAGGATAATAGTGACCTTGACCCTTGACCTTTTGACCCCAAAATCAATAGGGTCTTCTACCTAATATGGACAATCATCCTATGAAGTTTGAAACACTGTGGGCCAAATGGAACTTAAGTTATGCTCTGGAAACTGTTTCCAGTATCAATGTAATAGTGACCTTGACATTTGACCTTGTGACCCCAAAATCAATAGGGGTTTTCTTCCAAATATGGACAATCATCCTATGAAGTTTGAACACTGTGGGTCAATTGGAACTTAAGTTATACTCCGGAAACTGTTTTCAGTATCAAGGTAATAGTGACCTTGACCTTTGACCTTGTGACCCCAAAATCAATAGGGGTCTTTTGACCCAATATGGACAATCATCCTATGAAGTTTGACACTGTGGGTCAAATGGAACTTAAGTTATGCTCCGGAAACTGTTTTCAGTTTTAAGGTCATAGTGACCTTGACCTTTGACCTTTTGACCCCATAATCAATAGGGGTCTTTTACCCACTATAGACAATCATCCTATGAAGTTTGAACATTGTGGGTCATTTGGAACTTAAGTTATGCTCCGGAAACTGTTTTCAGTATCAAGGTAATAGCGACCTTGACCTTTGACCTTGTGACCCCAAAATCAATAGGGGTCTTCTACCTTATATGGACA